TATAGTGTGGGAGTGGAGTCAAGGGATTTGTAATAGATATGTATGATATTGGGGGGAAATGGGGCGGTGGATTGGGGGAGGGGGGTTGTCACTTTGAGGGGTAAAAAGTATAACTATTGCACTATGTTGTACAGCTGAAACTAATTCTAAAAAATGTGTATTTCATAATAAAAAATAATTTAATAAAAAAAAAGATGGTAATAATTTTAAAAGTCCAACTTGTCCTTAAGAAAAAAGCCAGGTACAGGAGAGGCACAAATGTTACTTATGTCTGACAATTAGAGGAGAGAATCCGAACAACCCTCCCTACCGTCACCCAAGTATCTTTTCCCAATTTTTTTTCCTGACAGTCTAACTTTATTTGACCCAAAAATCTAAAGTAGATCTGAAAATAAAATATTTAAGCATATTTTTAAAAGCCCTTGTAGTCTTGCTGTTTGTTTTCCTTGTCTTTCATAAAACTTAGTATGGCATTTTTAAAAGATGAGCTGTAACTCAGGTGAGAAGTGGCAAGTATTTTGATTTCCAAGTTGCTTATTAGAAAGTCTTACCTTTTGCCATTGCTGGAAGTCTGAAAGAACTGATGCGACCACTTTTCCTTTACTAGGGGATAAAATGTCTTTTCTACTAAAAGAATGGAAAAGAGCAAGAGCAGGGTATCAGAACAGGGTATATACAAAGAAAATCATGAATCCATACACTATATAGCAATCTTATGTTTCTCCTTAATGATGAATGCCTTCCAGGTTCAGCCCCTCTCCCATAGGCATGCAACTTTAAATTTACAAATATAAATTCATACTCTAATCAGGCCTGAGTAACCAAGTTACAGGGTCAGAGGCCATGACAGTATTAAAAGGGTGGTCTCTGGGTCTTCAGCATCCAAAATTAGATCATCGTAAGAATAATTCTATTGAATACAGCTGCCAAAACAATATATAAATATTAAAACAAAGGAAGCCTAATGAATAACTAAGTCTCAACATTTAGGTCAGAAGCCCCAACTTCTGGTAAGAAAGAGTTTCCTTTAATAACTCTGGAGTTTCAAGAAGAAAGAGCTTGATAAAGAAGTTCCTGAAGAAAAAGGGAGAAGAGAACCACAGCCACCTGTGCTCCCCTCCCAGCTAAGAGTCAATAACCAGTAGAAATGGGAATGGGCAGCAGCAACCAGCTTGGATACATACATAGAGTCTTAGAGACCTCAGCTTCCAGAACTTCCAAATCTACTAAATGGAAAACCCCCTACGGGATATGAAAAACTGAAACCATTCTTCTCAATTTGACATGGAAGTGGTACCTAAATGTGTTGAGTCCAGCCTGCATTCAAAGTCTAGATTCCCACTAACCTTGGCTGTGATCTAGTCATCGATCCTAGACTTAACTACTTTATAGGCAGCGTCTTCCATTGGCAGATTTCCGAAGTGTTACACAGTGTGACAGCCAATCAAAACCAGTCTCCTTAGAACTGCCATCCATTGATTCCACATCTCTGCACCTGCACTGTGCTACAGAAATTGCAGCTAGATCCAGATATTCAAGTTTGCCAATAGTAAAGACATACTTTTGGCTTGATTTTAAAAAAGAAAGAAAATCTTTTTTAAAAGAAGAAAGAGTTGGACTTTAAATGGAAGTAGCAGCAGATGGGTACAGGGATCAGGATGGGCTTACCAAGATGACTAGCACGAGAAGCTACAAGACCATTCAAGCTCCTAGCAGGACTGTGCCTTTCTAAGGGTTGCTGGTTACCTCACCAAAATCAATGTTAGATTAATTCAAGGTAAAAGAGAGAGGAAAAGAGAGAGAGAGAGGAAGGATTGGATTGAGTTATCAAACATGACATAGTAATCAGATAAACAAGATTCTTGGAGACTCACTGATTATTTCTGAAGAACTGCTGCCATTTGACAAGACCATCCTTAACAATTTGCAATTTCTCCCTTGTAGACTCTTCACTTTCTTCCACTTCCTGTTTAAATTTGTTCAGTAAGTCGCTCCATTTGTGTGTCAACTTCTGCAACAGTGCAAAGTCTGAATCGTCCTAAATAAAATGCACGGAATCAAACCACTTATTCGTTTATTCAGGTAACAAATACTTATTAGCATACACCGGGCCATTACTAATATCATAATGCTGGAGATATCCATAGAAGATGGATCAAAAATATTGAAAATATATTCCTCTTTCAAAATGTCATCAGGGACACTACTACACAGTCCCTTTGGTGGTGGATTTGCCATGGCACATAAAGTATTAGAGACAAGATTTTTTTTCCTTTGCAACATAAGCCCAGTTTCCCCATAGCATTTTCATGGGAGGCAGTGTGGTACATAGGAAAGAACAGAAATTTCAAAGACAAACATTACCAAATGTTAATCCTAGCCATTTATTGGCTGTGTAACCTTGGGGACTGCTATTTAACTTATGTGAGATTACTTTTTCTTATTTATAAAATAAAGGCCCTAATATATATCCCACAGGATTGTTATAAGAATTAAATGAAATGACTAGTCAAATCACTCTTAAATGGTTTGAGTCTAAAAACACTAAATGCCACTTTCCTTCTTTTCAACCTAGGGTGCCCACTGAGTTTTCCCATAAAATTGCATAGACTGTATCAATAATGCAAGTATTGGGTTGTAGAAAAGTCATCATGTATTTTGTCTGTTTTTCAAAGGTCATTTATTTATATAAAGAACAAAGATCAATCAATGATATAGTGCCCATTTTGTTTGATAACCTTTTGCCATCTTTCAGTGAGCTNTGAAATTAAGAATGCAGTGGATGTTTAACAGCAGATTACATATGTGAAGTACTGAAAGAAAATTGCTGCCAAATTAGAATTCTATACAACATAGATTTATCATTTATTGTTTAACAAAAAAAGAAAAAGAAAAACTAAGAGAAATCATTGGTAGACCCAAACTATAGGAAATGCTAAAGAGAGCTATTCAGGGAGAAAGAAAATTATGTCGGACAGACAAATGCAAACATAAGAGGGTAGTAATATAAGAATAAAAAGGTCCTACTTTCCAAATTCATAAAAGGGAAAGACTGATTATTCTTTGACCATAGATTCAAACCATGAACAAGCAATCACAAAAACAGTTTAAAACCCTTTCCAATCAATTAGGGACAGTTTTTCATGAGTACCCATGCCTCTGAAAATCAACCCATCCAAGTCATCTTCAAATCCCATATATTTTCTTTTGACTCTCCCTTAGGGCCCAATTTTGTTATTTAAGCTGAAGACACACTTCATTGCTGTTAAGTCATAATTTAGTTTTCTTTTCTACGTATAAACAGATCTAATTTTACACAAATGCATGAATGTCATTGGATATACACATTTATATTTCCTTTTTGGTCCCGTTTCCTCTCCAATCTTATCCTCCTTACCTCTTCCTGGCTCTAAGCCCAGCCTAACCTTTACCAAGTCATCCATGTAGAAACTTGGTGTACCCTTTCTCTATTTTTAATTCAAGTCTGTGAGGTCGTTTTGTATACACATAATACACATAGATGTATATGCATGTATGATGTGGATAATCATGGTTTCTTTAAAAATAACACAGATCATCTCAACATCACTAATTATTAGAGAACCGTACATCACAACCACAGTGGAATATCACCTCGCACCCATTAAGATGGCCACTATCAAAGACAGAAAATGGCAGGTGTTGGCAAGGAGGTGGAAAAATCAGACCCCTCATGCACAGCTGGTGGGTATATAAAATGATGCAGCCGCTTTGAAAACAATGTGACAGTCCTCAAAAATGTTATAGAGTTACCACAGGACCAGCAATTCTATTCCTGAGTATATACCTAAAAGAAATGAAAATATACGTCCACAGAGAAATATGTAAACAAATATTTATATCAGCATTACTCACAATAGCCAAAAAGTGGAAACTGCTCAAATGTCCATCAACATGTGAAATGATAAACAAAATGTGATACATACATACAATGGAATATTATTTGGCCATAAAAATGAATAAAGTACTGATATGTGCTAAAACATAGATGAACTTTTAAAACATTATGCTAAGTGAAAGAAGTCAGTCCCAAAAGATCACACATTATATGATTCCATTCATATGAAAGTCCAGAATAGGAAACTCTATAGAGATAGAAAATAGATTTAAGATTTGTTCAGGAACAGGGGGAAAAGAGGGTGATATCTAAAGGGTACAGGGTTTCTTTTGATGAAAATATTCTAAAATTGACTGTAGTGATGATTGCACACACCTGTGAGTACAAACGGTACACTCTAAATAGGTGAATTGTATTGTATATGAATCATCTCTCAATACAGTGATGCTCAATGGTTTATTTTGCTTGATTTCTAAAACTACATGCATGTGTTATTGTGATTTTAAATATTAATTGTATTGAAAATAATTACTATTAAAACCCTTTATGTGAAGCAATCTAGTTATCATTGTCTTTTCTTACCATTATCCCCAGTTATTCTTATTTCAAATTCTTTGTAGAGTCTTTGTATGCTTTTTACAATTTCCTCCATGTGTTGTCGCTCTGGTGGCATCTTCCCCTCCATACTTTTATGGCGACAAAATATCCCAAACCCAGTATCTGCCCAGTTTTCCTGTAAGTATTTAATAATCTTGAGAGAATCATATTTTGACACCAGAAAATCCCCAGTACACTTTTCTTTATCTTCATTTATTATCTAGATAGTGAAAGAAGAGTAAGGAAATTAGTATGTTATCCACTAATGATTTCCTCAAAGTTGACCCAGATCTTTATTTCCCAGTGACTCAATTATTTTGGAGTTACACATCCTATTATTATTTGTTCATATCATTTCTTCATATGACATACATTTTATTTTCAAAATTAAAGTGAATTTAAATTAATTAGATACCCTATAATATAATCCATAGTTTACTAGTATAAAAATAATTACATTAAATCCTATACAGGTAAAAAAATGAGTGATAGGCAATTAAGTCCCAGAGAGCTGAGCATGTTTAATTTTTATATGCGTTGGTTAGGATATAATACATCAGTTTTCATGATCCCCTCTAGACTGGGAAAGTTCCTAGAATGTAAGGGTTGTCTTTTATTCATGTTTTATTTGTCTGTCTAACCTCAAGTCCAAGTCCTATATATATCAATAAATATTTGTGGGAAAAATAAAGTACAACTTATATATAAAGTTTGCCATTATTTGTGACTCAGGTTATGAAAACAAATAGGAGTGACCACGACAGGGCAGCAATATAGCAGAGCAATGAAGGGTAGGGATTTTGGAATTGGAGAGAGCTGGACTCAAATGCCGACTCAGTCACTTACCGTTTATAGATAAGTTAGGCAAGTTACTTAACATTTCTAAGCTCAATTTTGGCATCTGTGAGACGGGAATTAGAAAACCTGCATCATGTGGCTGCCATGAAGCGTAAATAAGATAAGGTATGGAAAGCACCTTCAGCCTCACAGAATAAGTGCTTAATGAATGAGTTATTATTATTCCTACTAAATAAAGAAGCATGGTTGTTTTTTTTTTCAAGTTTATCTATGCAATGTCAAAATTGCCAGATAAACAATCAAAAAAGTCACAAAATAAACTATAGTGTGTATAGGACAACAAACATCTTCGATTCTGAGAATATTCTGCTCACATCATTCCAAAAGAAAAGGAAACAGTTTCCTGGGATCTGGGTGAGATTTCATCAGGTCACGAGTTTGATATTCACTTTGGAGGAATTTCAGTATCTTATATATTTTTCCTTTGTCAAACTACTATAACATGATAGTAATTTGATTAATGACACCGCTTTTCATAGCTTGAACACTTTTTAAGCAAAGTGTGGTATATACATACAATGGAATATTATTCAGCCTTGAAAAGAAAGGAAATTCTGATACATGCTACAGCATGGATGAGCCTTAAGGACATTATGCTGAAGGAAATAAGTCACAAAAAACAAATTCTAAATGATTCCACTTATACGAGGTTATAGAGTAGTCAGGTTTATGGAGACAGTACGTAGAATGGTGGTTGCCAGGGACTGGGGGAGCAGGAAATGGGGAGTTAGTATTTAATGGGTACAGAGTTTCAGTTGGGAACGATGAAAAGTTTTGGACATGGATGGTGGTGATGGCTGCACAATAGTGTGAATGTACTTAATGCCAATGAACTATATACTTAAATCATTTACCAAATGATTAAAATGGTAAATTTTATGTTATGTATATTTTACCACAAAAAAGATGGTAATAGGGAGACTTCCGGGTGTCAGGTGGTCACATGTCTTGCATCATGGATGGGGAAGAGGCTTGATCACTGCACTGTACACCTGAAGCTGATGTTGTATAATATTGTATGTCAACTATAATTGAANCACCACATTGAAAGCCTATGGAAATGGTCCTAAAAACAAACAGCAACTTAAGAAACGGCTATTCAAGACAATCTATGAAGGTTCAATAAGAAAAGCAAGAGGCTATGGAATCTGAGCCGACACTGCCCCTCTCTTCCCCTTTCCAGCTCAGTGAGGTGGAAACTCCACTCGAGGCTGCTGCAGTCAGGAACACCGGGCTCCCTCACCCTCCAGCTCCCAGTCAGATGGCTTTCTTCCCGGGAGGGACAGGACTTCCAAGTTGCTTATGTAACCCCAGCTACCTGTTGTTGAGGCTAGGTACTGGGGAAACCCAGCTGAGAAGTGGGGATTCTCTTCTTCTGCCCATCTGAGAGCTACGGGAACTTACGAGCCAGAATCCTTGTCTAAGCACTGAGGAACAGTACCAATAATGTTTAACAATACATCCAACTGAGACTCCATTTCCTTAATTTTTTCATTAAGTCCTTCCCATTCTTCAAGAATCATTTCAGGAAACTCCAAGATGCTTTTCAACTTGGAAGAACAGAAGTCAACAAAAGTAATCAAAATTGAAAGAATTTTAGAGGTACCTGGAAAAGTAAGAAAAGCATTAATTTTTAGAAGTCTCTGTAAGTCTATTATTTCAATAATAAATTATAAAATACTAATGCGCAGGGGCATGTCTTTTTT